ACTCTCTCTAACATTATTCACAATCAAAATAGCTATCTCTGGAAAAAATTCAAGCCATTACAAAGATCGTTGCAAAAGAAGGTTGAAACATAAGTTCACCCTTTTTAAGATTTCAGTCCTCGGTTCAATGATTCCCAAGCTTATAGCCAGCAGGTACCTACATAACGTCTATTTATTTCATTTTCTTATCATTAGCATTACCTTGCTCTACTGTTAAACACATACTCACAATTAAAAGGACCATCTCCATGATAACAAATTTCTATTAACACAACTCTCGTTTAAACCTAACCTACATATCACCAGAGGTCCCTCGCGTTAAAATCAAAATGGTGGCCCCCAGCCAAACCCTAGAACACAATTCCCAACCGTGAAACACCATTTCCACTAAAGTCCAACAAATTAACCCCCACGAATCCAGCTCCATCGCCCTCTAACATTCCTCTGAATCAAAATAACCATCTCTACTCAAAATTCAATCCGGTAAAAACACCGTGGGTGTCGTGAAACGGGTTCTCGATCCCGGTATTCCCGGCCGTCACCTTCGGGTCATCCGTAGGAGCGTGAACGCCGCTCCGAAAGTGCGGATGAAAATTAATGAAAGCACAATTGGTGTTAATGGCGGGTGGCACGGCTTCCCCATGGCTCCGGGGTCCGGCAACCTTCTGCATCCTCGTTACGGGCAACGGGGAGCGTTGACGACGATGTTTCGGGGGTCCCCGTTCGATTTGTTTTGTAACCCCGCCGACATGTTCCAGACAAAATCCAGATCCCGAATTCCCAGAGTGCGCGAGTAGCAGGAGGAGATCGACCACGCTGGAACGTGCCCGCTATTTATAATTGGATCTCGCGAGTATGTTCGTCCGTTCATATCGGTGTATCACACAGCCACCGAATCATGGGGTCTGCTCAATGTTAATTCACCGATTCCTGGTAATCGCTGTGGCCCTGGGATCTTGTCTTTACGCGTGCAGCCTCCGGCCTTGACGTCCCCGTGTAATTACGACGCGCGTATAGAATGGTAAAGCGACGCGTCGACGAATTAACCGGGCCCGACGTGCATCCTGGATCAGCGTGTTAACCGTCGCACGCCTGCACGTGTTGCTTGTTTAAACGGGACCAAAGTGATCGCGGGTCGACGATGAGAGGACAAGGGAGGGGGGATTAACAAATCGGCGAGCGAGACTTTTTTTTTTTTGTTGATTCGCTGGAGATACTATTAGTTGGATTACGGATGATGGAATGTGAATAACAGACAACATGTTTTATTTGTAATGGAGCACTGAGTGTCACAGTTACTGAACGACTTTGTAAAGGGTGTCTCAGCGAGAACTTGAATTTCGAATCGCGCGCCATTTTCGTCTGTCAAATGGTGAGTCAGTCATATTTGGCGGTTTTTTAGTTAATACATTGACATTCACGAAAATGACGCGTCATGCTTTGGAAGAACGTTTGTTAATAGTGAAAACCCATTACAAACATTAAAAACTTCGATATTACATCAGGGAAACTCTGACTATGAAATCCCGCACGCAGCTAGCTTACCAGCCCGTCGCCATTCTAAACTTCGAGCAGCCTTGAAACTTCACCCGCCTCGAACCCACCATCAATCACCTTAAATTCACTCGAACCGCCCAATTAAGCCAACATGGACTCCCGTCCCGGCTTCCTCGATCGTTCGGCTTTCGTTTCCGCTCTAGCATACATGGAACCGAGACGTCAACAAAAGGAAATCATCGAATACACATCTCCATTCGTTTAGTAAAACAGAAATCGGTATAATGAATTTCTGAAAATTTTTATCAATTTCTGGACCAGTATGGAATCCTGTCAAAAAGATCTATCTAACTGGTCTGGAACGTTCGTTATGCCCACCCCTAGGGGGCGTTGGCTGCGTCACAGATTCAAAGACGGACGTAATTGCATCTCGTGCGCAATATACGCTACTTACGTATCTCTTAATTAATTCGTGCCTCGCCCCGCCCGGTAATTATTTCCATATCGTCAGACACGTACCCCCGTGACCCTCCTCCTGCTGGCTGCGTCGCCTCGACGACGACGACGCCGACGCCGTGGACGCGTACACCGCGTGTCGAGAATATCGAGCATTTCCACAACTCTCTGTCTGCCTATCGCACTCTTCCTTCTTACACCTTTTTATTCGTAATTAATTACGCGGCAACGAGATACACGAACGATTCAGGGGAAGAGAGAAAGAAAAAACGAGAGGAATAAGAGAGTACTTATCGTAGCAAGACAATTACGTTTTCCCGAGGCTGGTATTTATGGGGTTCGTATCGACCCCAGTGTGCTGTTAATCGGCGAAGTATTATTAGCCCGATGGTGATTTCGTTCGGGGCGATAAAGGCCATTTTTAGAGCGTGTTCTTCCGCCAATATGGATGGATCGTATGACCGTGGGGTAGGTTCCTTTGTCTCGAACGGCTGGAGAGTGGATTTAAGGGGTTCTGGTTTGTTCGAGGTGTGACATTTCGGTGTTCTTTGGGGATTGCATAGTGGAGGAAATGATGGGATTGAATGTGGTTTCTGAATTTCTGGTGTTTGTGGTTATCGGAGTTTTTCAGATGATAAAGTGTTAGAGTCTGATGAATTTTTGAAAATTTCTAAAAAATTGAAATAATAACAGTTATGTAAATTACAAGCATTTTTGTAGTATTGGGGGATACAATTTAGGGAAATTGGTTGCCGAGTGGTACACCAGGCAAAGAAGGTTGGGAACCACTGTTCTACTGGATACTGATTGATAAACATCTTCTTTTTAAGATTGACTAGTTTTTATCATGTTGGTCTGCAATCGTATTTACTAGAAACGACTAGTGATCGTCGATGATTTTTAGGATCAAAATAAGAAGATAAAGAATACGAAATTCTATATTTTAGTTCTATGTTTCTACGCGACAGTCAGGATTTAAAACAAAAAATTGTTAGACCAAGGAATTTTTAATGTCTCCCTCGCGCATAAAAGTAGACTAAAGATTCTGTTTCATCGCTTTATGTATTTGTAAAGTTACTAGGTTCTTCCTACAGTAATATCAGAACAATTGATTCCACAGTTTTAACAATGTTGTATTCATTCTAGAGCAAAAAGTGGTTAGCATATCCAACAGAAGAAACCATAAAAAATACACTTTAACAAAATGGCAGCCTTAATAAGGCCATTAACAGCATCCTCTAAACGAGGCGATCTCTTTCGAAACTTATTAGTCGCAAAAGTATATTTTGCATTACAAAACTCGTAAATTTATTCTCGATAACATACACCTCGAGTAATCTTCGTAATTCTTTAACAACAAAAGAGCACGGTAAGGTAGGAACGTCTCTAATACAGAGTGTTTCAAAAAACGTGGACATGCCTTTAAAAATCAATTACAAATTGATTAGTCGCCCGGGGCCACGAACTCGAATACATTGAAAGTATTCGTATCCACATGAACGTTAATAATATTCATCGAGCTTAATTACAGGAAAGCCGAAGAGTCTTACATTTATACACACTGACCAATACATGCAATCCTCTTACGCTAGATAAATCTTCAAACGATCAGCTCACATTTCATGAAACGCCCTGTACAAAGATTCCTGATAAAGATGATTCAGTTCGAGATCGTCACCGACTCGTCGTACATTCTATCATGATTTGTTCACGAAATACACACATAATCGTCGGGGTTCTTTAGCGTCGTATACACACAGGTATAGTTATCGAGCGTCCGATCTGGCTAAAAATCGTTCGGTTCGATGAGCTAACACGGAAGGATCGTGAATTTGAGACGTTCGAAAAACTAAAGATCATTCTACGGGTCCTCTAGTATCACAATCAATTGTAATTCACAGTCACATTCCGCAGAGCCACACCTTGGACTGCTCGCGAGGTACGGGAACCTCTCACGATGTGTGTCTATGTGTGTGTGTGTGTGTGTGTATGTGTACTGTAATATTTACATTTCAATTACGCTAATACCGTCCTAGGGACGCCAGAATCGAGAGTGTATCGCAATCAGTTAATTAAATCGTCGTGGAATCGTCTGGCTTCCCGATCTCCATCGATCGGTGGTGTTCACCGCTCGGTGACGTCACCCAGCGGCCGTAGTCCGCCATTTTTCCCCCGAGCGCGTTGGTTTCGTTCGTGCCAAGTTTTCGTCCACTTGTCACCGGCCGATCGACGATCACGGATATGCAAATAGGGTTCCTGAAATAAACGGCACTGGTTCAAACGGGAATAAAACGTCCCCTATATCAGCGGGTTCGGTTTATTATTACCTTCTTCCCCCATTTTCCGATGGATCCATCGGCGATAAAGAACAAATAACTCGGTATTATTCGGCGTACTCGCGATTTATGCACCGGCTACATAATAATGTAAGAATCGTCGGGAATAAAAGAGTCGCCTACAGTCGCCTGTGGCTCGTGTCCAATAAACAGGAAGCATACCTAAACGGTGCCGTTTGTATCATAACCTTTAATAACAATTTCGAATGGCTCGAACAGCGATATCGTGCGCGCGTGGATGAGGATATGTTCGATTCTCGTATAGATCCGGTTATGTAACATCCGTAACTTCGCATTCTCGAGATTGACGTAGGTAAATGTCACCTCCCTGGTCTCCACCTTTCAGTTATATCCTGGCTGTCCACGAAATCTGTCTTGGGGTACGGATATATTTCTCACGATGATTCATTAAACGGAAGTATTTTCAGCGACCCGCTGTCGTCCGGTTACAATATTTAGGTAAATCGTAGGATCTCTATTTTCTGTCTTCGAAGATGAGGGTTCCGTCGTGGGCTGACGATGTTTTCTCTTGTGATTCTTATGTAACGTATCTTTCTTTATTCTACAGTGGAACGAAGATTGATCTTTATATTATCCATATAACAGTTCTCTATATAAATCTGCCTCCTAGGTACTATTTACATCCTTAGTCCGAACTTCAAATCTTGCAATTTTCGATCTTCGTTAAAAAATATTTCATCCAATAAACTCTATACAAATCTAGAGTAATCCTCATCAATCCAACCATGATCCTCTGTATCTTCCTCGACTCAAGATTCATCACATTCTACATCAGTATCCCTCCATTCCAAAGTCCATCAAATTTTACATCAGTACTCTATTTTCCATTCTAAGATCACTATCCTCCATCTACTCTCCACCACAATACGCGAACCATTCTTCGAACCGCCACCCCGCGAATCACCCGCAGCATTAAACCCAAGGTTCGACTGAACCGCCATCGTCCACAGTTAAATCATCCGATCATCAATTGCTGACAGATCTGCTGGCGCTCTCGGTCGAGCCCCGTCGAGCGCCCTCGGTCCTAATAATCACACCCTGAGCGATACCATAGTGTTCATAAGGGTTCTTTCCATACCCAAACATTTCGTCGGCCCTGTAATTGTTTCTAAGCCTGGGTGGCGTTGAGGTTCTCGCAGGGGTGCCGGTCGGGCTGTTTTTCGGGGTCAAGATCCTCGCTGGCGTGGAGGTCGGGCTGTTCTTGGGCGTGCCGGACGGATTCGTGGTCACGGAACCGGTCTTCGGATTAGCTGCTGCCTCGGTCGGGACAGCGTTCATCCCTTGCAACGCGTTGAAGCTCTGCATGACGAGATGAGAGGCGACAGACATCGTCAGCGGATTTGCGAGGGGAACCACCACCGGCGGCCCGGCCGCGGATTTCTCGTTTCGGGCTACCGGCGAAGCGTTACTCGATTGATTCTCCACTCGAGCCGCCGCTGGGAGCATTACAACGGATTGATTTTCTACTCGAGACATTGATTGGCCCGTGGATCGATTCGACCTCTCGCCCCGAGCCGTCACTGGCGAAGTAGACGATTGGCCGTCCGTTTGAGTCGGTAGCACCAATGCAGCTGACCTGTCAGTTGATCGGACCATCGGCAAAGCGACAGACTTGTCTGTCTGCGTGGTAGGCAGTACTGTGGTGGACTGGCTTCTCTTGGCTGTATCGTGACGGTTTCCGTTTAGGGCTGGCGAGGTTGGGGCCGGAAATGGGGCAGTTTGGGAACGATGCCTCCTGGCTGGGATCTGGGGACTCCTCGGAACAGTTCGATCTACTAGAGACCCATTTCGATCTTGGTAGCTCGGTCTAGTTGAGCTATCCTCTATGCTGGAGGAATTAGGGCCGTAACCAGTACTGGTCGTAGGGATGGACTCGTCTTGTGAATTGTTGAGGTTGTTTATTGGGGATTTATTAACGATCTGACCGTTTGCACCATTGATCGGTCTGGTCTCTTCGGTTGTATTGATGTCCACTTTCTGGGGTAGCTTGGACATCGTGTTACCGTTAGTCCCGTTCTTCACGATCGCCAGGCTAGGGTCACCGTTCGGGAAGCTCGCGAACCGTGCGATCGTCTCCCGTTCCTCGGCCACTTGCGGCGCGAACGGAATCTTTCTTTCGGTGGGCTGCTTAATGGTCTGCCTCTTCCGTGGCGCTGACGTGTTTGCTCTGTGCTTCTGTCGCTTGGTATCGTTCGTCTTGACTCGCGTCTCCGGGAAGTGTCTGCCTTTCATGGTGTTCGGCTGCTCCTCGTCCTCCTCCTCCTCGTAGATCCGGATGTCCTCGTTCGGATCGGACTCGTCCCCCTCGTACTCCTCGACTATCGCGCTCGCCTGGATCCATTCGCGGATACGATCCTTCTTCTTGGTACGGTCCACCGTTATCTCGATCCCGTACGTGGTCAGGGTGTGCAGAAGTTGACTCTTCTCCTCCAGAGAGCTGTGGAAGCTGTACATCGAGGGGCAAAGTTCGTCCCTCTCGTCGGCGCCACCTGTGCAAACGTCGCAGAGCGATGAAGTAGATAAACGGAGTGGGTGGCTAGGACGTGTTTTAATTTTCGTGATCTTTACCGTTCATGGCCTTCTCAGCGCCGAGCTTCGCAAGCCAACGGTCCTCGAGGTATTTGTTTATTTCCAAGACGCTCGCGGGCCTCTTCTCCGATTTAGGGTCCAGCAGACGTTTGAACATCCTGGGGAATATTCAGAGATGCTTGGTTATGTCGAGAAATATTGTTGGAGTTCACGGAAATTGGTTTCGAACGCTTTCACTGTTTACGTGTAAGTAAATAAAATTTTGAAACAGAAATTGAAACAATCGGGTTTCAAAAATGAACTGACTGGTCAATGTGAATTGACAAATGGATCTAATTTCACCCAGAATTGGTTACTGTAATTTTTAGGGTAATTAGTATATCCTGTTTTAATGAAAATCTTTCACATTGACTGCAATATCAGTGGAAACGTGTGAACTGAAATTGATTGCCGTATAATTCGGTAGATTTATTCGAATAATCGATGGAAGTCTAAATGCGGTTAAATTAACCCTTCATCGGCGAATAAATCTCCCCTAATTTAATTTAACCTCCCGAACACCAACAAGTCCGATGCGTTTAACGATACTGTCTTCTTTCGGGACAATAAACCATTCAACGCGGGCCTGCATCCACGGCCATCATCGCGCTTATTTCGAAAATAAACTGAAGTTAAAAGCATTTCCATGGATTCCGGTTTGCACCCCCTGATATAATTTAGTCCTCTGATTATTTTTACTGGTATAATCGATCCCCAAATTTCTCCCTTCTTTATTAACTGCTTCTAACTTTCCCTGGGGCCAAGCTCGATATACACTCAACATCAGTCCATTCGTTATCTGAGATCCGTTTCATTTGTTCGATAAGAAACAAATGGACCATTCCGTGAGCTCTTGAACAACCTACTTGATATAATTTTACTGTTTTCGACACTTGTAGCGAGAACATTTAAGTATACTCGTAAGTATATTGCAGATTTCATGCATGTATAGTACTCACGAACACTTGAAGTAAAGGCTCTAATAAAGATTAATAAGTCTTTTATTTTTCGTTTAGTCCATAAGAAGCTTCAGTCGAAATAATCTATCTCCGTTTCACATTTATCCTTATAAATAAGTTTATAAGATTTCAAATTTACATAAATTAATTTTGAAAGTATTCTGAGAGTTTACAAGAATATTTCGTCAAGTTTTAATACTATTTCGTCTTACCATTACCTGCACTAATTAGAAATGAACAATCTTTATTATAAATGGAACATCGTTTTATTTGCTACTTTTTTTTTTGTTTGTTTAATGGCAATCCATTAGTCATTAAAGTATCGCGACCGCTGGCGCCTGATCCGCCGTGTCACATATATTCGAAGAGACTGACCTCTGCGCCCGCGAGCTGATCAGCTGAAATAATTTCGGTTTCTTGGCTATGTTCAGCGTCGCGTTGTGCCAGTTTTGATATCTGGTATACCGCGGGTCGTCCAACGCCGCCTTCTGCCACGGCAGGCATCCGGTCAGACAGACAAATAGGACAATGCCGAATTGCCAGACGTCGTGTGACGTGAGGGCTCTGCAAAACGTGAAACGTAATACACTATATAAGCGATCAGAATTTTGTCATTCATGTTTTCGATCCCCACGACTCTCATAACTCGCGTCACCGACTTCCTCGTCCCTTTCATTGACAGAGTTATTTCGAGGCAAAATGATTAAAATATGAGTACATTGCCATAATTGTTTAATACCGGTTTACAGAACTGGATAATTCGAAAGCTAGTATTTAAGTAGTAAATCCACCCCTAAGCTGGTCTCACATGTTACAGGATAATCTATTCCTTGAAATACGATTCTCTGAACTCTAATTAAACTTCGGTGCATGACCCCTTTAGAAAGCGAAGCGATCAATACCGTGAAAATAGATTTAATTTATCAAATTAATATTTAGGTAATTTATCGAGTAATTAATTATTACTTCGATTTTCAAGAGGTTCATGCAATAAGTGAAACGCGATCCTCGAAATAATTTCGTACTATACGCGAATGAAAATTGATTTTCGAAAGTTATTAGTTTGCAATCGAAGATATCGCGAACGCTTTAACGCCCAGACCCTTAAACCGTTATTTCAAAATTATGAGACTGATATAGATGTATCTTATTATTTTGAAGTCGAAAATATCGATATTCAACCAACCAATTTTTAAAATTTTACAAAAATTTATTTTTAACCTTTTAACGCCTAAACATCTCTTCCAGGGAAAAAATTATTTCTTGCGATTAGTTAACTTAAGAATGGAAATGTGATTTTACGTCACATTAGGCGTTAAAGGGTTAAAATTAGTATGTTATAATTCGATAAATGTAGTATCTGATTAATCGCTGGTAATGGTCAATCGTATAATTACTTGTACGTCTCGTCAGTGTCGATCTGCAATACCTCAGGCGGCGAGTAAGGCAGCCATTCGTTGTGTCGTCGCACCACGGTGTTCACACGTCTGGTCTCGCCGAAATCGCACAGTTTGATCCGCGAGAAATCGCTGCGAAACACGAGGACATTGTCCAGTTTGATGTCGCGGTGCACTAATTCACGACTGTGAATGTGATGCACTGCCGCGGCCAATTGTCTGGCCACCCTCTTTGCGTGCAGTTCACCCAAACCAGTCTCCGTCACGTTGGACGTTAAGTCCCCTAAAAGATGTAGAAGAATTTCAATCGTTTGTATTATAATCTATTTCCTTACCTTATGCTCTAATTACTCTAACCAATCCTGAACAAGATTAACCCTTTTCAAGGTATTCTAAGTCTAGGCAGTTGCATAAATATCATATAACTTAATTACACTTTAATACTTGATACAAATACGTAATTATAACAGTAGAGAAATGTGGACATACAGTTGAAGTTGAAGTAAATACAACATAGATTACTAAAGTTTAATAGTAATTGCAGTAGAGTCGACTGTTGAGTTTATCTTGGCGTAAGCTCGCAAAGGGTTAATAGCCAGTTCACTGTTACTCTTGAATCTACTTTCCTAATTTGGTATCTGATCAGAGAGATTTCTGAATCCACGTAAAATCACTTAATTTTTGCATATGTTCCGACATAATAATTGCAAGAAAAAAAATGCAGAATAATCTTTACATTTTTACTGGCTTTCTCGCTTCGGGAGTCATCGTACCGTATAAAAACAATACCTTACCATTTCTTTCCTGGTTACAAAAAATGTTCAACACTTAGTTTATTTTACAATCCTGTTCATTGTTCCCATGCAGTGCGATAATTCATAATTTTGTGTAACTTTGAAAATATTAATTTTTCCTCCCATGTACTTATATTTCTACTAATATTTCCCAGTAATTTGTTTCATCATTTCACAAGTACAATCTACCCCAAAAGTTACGAACCCTTTTTTGTATCACCCTATATCAAAATTCTAACCCGAAAATACCGAAAGTCAAAACAAAACCTGCCCGTTCTCCGAATAATACACGATAAAAACGCGACACAGAACATTTCAATTCAGACTTCATCGGTCAACAGGTCACTCGAATAGGCGTTCGTCTCACCAAGCGGAGCGTACTCCTGGCTGAACACGTAGAACCCAGCGGTCTCGAACGCGACGTCGTAGGTGGTGATGATGTTCCTGTGCGCGGCCAGGTGCAGACCGTAATGGAACTCGCGAAAGAAGTCCGTGATCCCGGTGTACGCTTTCGGCAGCGCTTTCAGCACCATCTCGGTCTGCGTGCTCCGGTGCTCGGTCAGCAGGATCTTGCCGAACCATCCTTCGCCGACGATTTGCAGGATATCGAACTCGTCGATCAGATTCACCTGTTCGGAGAAGAAAGCGCCGCAGCGATGTTCAGCCGGTGCGCCCGATTCACGGACCAATTGGGGGAGGAGAAGGAACGGCGAGGAGTGGGGGGAGGAGGAACACGCGGTAACCACGGAACAGCTGCATCTTTCCCCCCCCCCCCTGAGTAGTTGATTTGGATCGCAAGTCGAGCGTCGGCGCCGAATCGACGAGGAGCGTACATACACGCGCGATCCGTCGCGAGCATCTATTTTTAATTCGACTCACGACACGTAATGCGCGACGGACACGTCTGCGATCGACGAGATCGACGGATAAAATCGTGGCTCGAAGATGATTTATTCGGGGGTGGATCTTGGGAATGGGGGTTTTTTTTTTTTTTTTTTTTTTTTTTTTTTTTTTTGAAGTGTACAGCGGTCCGTTTCGTGGATCCGATGCATAATTTAACGTGGCTAGCGAACGGGATCTGTACGCGGAACGATCGAGGTGGCACTGTTTGAGGAACTCGAGGGGAAGGCGGTTGGGATCAAGAGACGCGACGGGATTGCGAATTGTCGGAAGTTACGTTGTGGTGGTCGCTGTTGCTAGCGTTTCGGCTTTTGAAGATCCGTGAATATGGATTTTGTTAGGTAAGCTTGATGGTCACGGAACTTTTCTTGGAATTTTGGTTTTAGTGTGATACTTTAATAGAGCTGTTTCAAGAAGCCTTTGATCTATTGGTGGAGATTTATCTGTACATCGAGATGTATACTATTGGTTAAAAGTATTGTCTTACTTGTAAAAAAATTGTCGAAATTCAATGTCTCATAACTTTGTTAATATTTATCAAAATTCGTTTAAATAAAGAGTAAATTTTGATAAATATTAACAAAATTATGAGACATTGAATTTCGACAATTTTTTTACAACTAAGACAATACTTTTTACCAGTTGAGTACGGATGTTGTGTACGAACAGGTAATCCACAATTACTTTTTAATCCTTTCAGGCCTGAATTACGTTATCGTTACTTTTTACCGCAATTTTTATTCCAGATACTTGAAAATTGATGAGAAACGATTTCTGTATTTTTTTTTGTATTCAAATAATTTGACTTTCCATATACACATTACTAACTCCATACTCTAAAATTAGTAGATTGGTAGAAAACGGAGAGGTTTAAATATCCCCAGGTTCCCAAACTTTCCCCTTAAATCATTCTGTGTGTCAAACCAACATTTATCACCGTGCAGCGATAGTTTCCCAAGACTCGTCCAAATTCTCCGATCTGAAGGTACCAGCAGCTGCGGCTGTAGGAGCGTAATGTCACGAATCGAAGGCAGAAAATAGGCGGGAAAGGGTTCCTGGCGCGACGGTGTCCCCGATTTTCCAAAGTCTTTCGAAACTGCCCGCGGAGAGGAGCAGGATTTACCGCCTGTCCTTTGGAACAATGGGAACACGCCGACCAGAGGAGAATTGCTTTATTACACGCCGCGAAACGACTCCTCGTATAACACGCGGTGAAGTGTTAAAGGTTACAATCGTCGTCGCGCATTGTCATAAAGTGGGCATCGAGCGAAAGTTGGTTTACTGCCAGGGAGAAGGAGGATCGCACGGTTCCGATGTAAATGCTCGAACGTACGACCCACTATTTCGGGATCCCGTACGATCTAAGAGGCTGGAGACCCCAGGAGTTACCGTCGCGTAATTGATCTGTCCACGAATAATTTAAGGATCGACGGCTAGTTGGAAACGCGGTCACGTACGAGACAATTTTCGACGATCGATCGAACGTTCCGAAGTTTCTTCTGGATAGCTCTTACTCGGTGATTCATCGACCAATGGAAGAAAAATGGAGACCAGATGCTGGGAGCTTCTTTGTTGGGGAGTGCTTTTGTCAGTCAGTATATAAATTTCTTTATGCAAGGCTCGGAACTTCGTGACAGACTAAATTACAGTGTTGGACGTACATATTCAGTAGGTAGGAAGCTTGCTCGTGACGTTTATTTTAAAATAAAGTATAAAACCACGTTAAAATTTTTTAGTTCTTACGCATTGTGGTTAAAATAAAAATGAACCATGTATGCCCTGTCTGAAATCGTGTTGAAAAATAATGTTCCTTCGGAGAAGGATATTTTATACATATTCCCTTGAAAATAGTGGTTCGTTTTTATTTTAATCGCAATGCATGAGGGTTGAAAATTTTAGGGTGGTTTATCTTTCGATTCAACTCTTTTGATTTAGTTCATCGATCTTTATATGACTAAAGAGAAAATATTTTAGCTGATCGAGGACGATTGGGATTTTAGTATTTTAATTTTAGATTTGTAGGCTAAGACGATGTAATGAGCCTAGGAGAAGACTAGGGTTTGTTAACCTAACGTAAAGGAGGTGGTCCGAATACAGGCTAGGGTCTAAATATGACCTAATTGAAAGTATAGGGTCCTGTTAGGTGCTTCACCATAGCGAGAATAGTGTGAAACTACGACTCCTAAACAAAAGAAGCTTATTTTAACTCTATATCATAAAGGAAACATGTTCTAGATACATTGAAGTGTTACATCTTAAAAATCTTCAACAGGTTTGCCAATAATTCCTAACCCATATTTCGACCACCTTTATTAGGTGTACCAATAAGTAATTCACTATGACTTTAATATAGTGACAATACAGTAAAATATCTTTCCAATTTCTGTTCACTGAAAATGGCACAGGATATTGTAGACTTGTTTTGAATATTGTTAAGATAACATAGGTATTTAAATTATCACGGAACAAATATATAGAATTTCATTATTTATTGGTACACGTAATAGTAAGTCGACTATTATCCAGTTTACGCTGAGCAGACCGTCCGAAAAATTGTATTACGTGCCAGCAGTTACAGGGAGCGACGAACGATCGACGAGGGTAAAATGGCGGACGTGGTAGACAATTGAGTTACCTTCTCGAGCTCGAACTCTCGTATCCTGTGAATGGAGCCGCCGATGGCTTTCTTCATTAAGCTCATTCTGACGGGCGATGGTCGATCGTGTGCCACGGGCTCGAATGAAAGCCAAAAGTCAGGATAGCGGTTGACAATCCGGTGTGGTTCACGCAGTGACCGCGTGGCTCACATTCTGTCATTTCGAGGTGAAAGCTCGCCCAGATCTGTGCCGAACAGATTCAAAGCGTCAATGATTCCGTTACATCGACCATAGCCATTCTGTGTTACAAAATGGAACAATATGTATCGTCACCTCGCTTTTATTATTCTGAAACTGCGGAATCTCATTGGGAACGTGGACAATTTGCCAATGCGTGAAAGGTTACTCAATATTCTGATATTTACACAGTAAATTAATTTTCTTTTATCGTGAAGTAAAAGAGCATCATAGAATTTTAAAAGAGTAGAAATTCGGTAGATAATTTCCTATAAGTTCTAGAGTTTGTTGAGGTTAGATAAATTGCTCCTGATCCTCTATGACAAATAAATTGTTATTTTGTTTTTACTTAATTTTGTAATATTAACATTTTAACAATGATATATTGATCAGAGCAAACGGAACAAATTAATCATCAGTGGAACCATTGAGACGTAGAAGTTCGTACGACCACAGTAGTCCCTTTCATATTCTACAAAAATAAAATTTTATAAATAATTGAACGACTAGCCCAAGAATACTCAAGGAACCGAAACATTAAACACTCCAACAATGATACTTCTTCATTCGGCCGATCGATGCGCGAACTCTGGAACAATGTAACAGCCCTTATTCTCTCCTATGTATAAGCACGCGGGGTCTGTTGAGGATTTGCCAAAGTACACGAAACACTCCGACGAACAGCCGAATTTCGGGCGACTGTAAAGTGGCTCGCGTCGTTTTCTAAAAGCATGATCCTGCCGGGAATTAAAGCGTTTGGCCAAGGCGGTTGGGGCCACGAAGGGGAGGAGGCTGAAAGTTTGTCGGAAGCCACTTGAGCCGCGATCACGTGCGCGTTTCCACAAAGCGAAAGCTTTAAGTTCCAGATAACCGCGAGCTTTGTGCCGGGTCGCCGGGGTAACGACGCGTTTCCACGGAGTTACAAAGCTCATAAGCGCCTCCGAACGACCGTGTGTTCGTGAATGAATAGAGCGAAGAAAAAAAAAAGGAAAGCGTTAAAACGACGCCGTGGCAAAGAAATAGAAGGGGAACAGCTACTTCGTGTCTCGCGTCGAGAGAAAAATATATACATTCGAGTCGAATGATTCGACAACCGTCGAATATCGTCGTTGCGGGACTCGTGAAAAGAATCGGGCCGACGTTTGATGTTCGACTACTTCCGATGGAGAACGCGCTCGCGCGCACGTGCACGGTTCTCGCGAATGCGAAACATGGCGGGGTGCATGAAACATTCATGCGAGCTCGGGGGGTTTGAGATGGGAAAAGCGCCCCGATACGCTGCAGAAAAATGGAGTTCCGGAAGGCGATGACATGAAAGAAATGCAAAAAGTGTGAGAAATTTCAGGAACGTGGGGTTTCATGAAAATGCAGGATTATTCTGAAATAAATGGGAATCCGCTCGGTGTGTTATTCGCTCGAATACGGGAATAAAAATGAAACGGGATAAACCGTGAGATGGATAAAAATGAATTTTTTATGGTGTTCAATTTTGTTTCGAGAAGATAATGAAAGTAACATTAAAACGTGATTAAATTTTGTAATAAGGAACGATTTTGTATCGATGGGGGATTAATGAATTTGGAACGGACGAGTTTTATAATTATAGTGAATCTAGGGTACGGTGCCACTGTGGTATTCTAAAAAGATGGTTGTTATTCTGGAGTACACGTGTCGGGAACAAAAATAGCGTTACAGATTTCGGTCTATAATTCGTCCGTGTGTATTATTCCTCTAAATAAGTTGTTTCTATGTAACCTACCGCTGCCGGAGGTTGTGTCTACTCTACACAGCATAAGCGCGTATTTTCGAATCGCGTTAATTGTTGCGCAAGTTGGACAACGAAACGCGGCGAATCTCGACTCGGTGGTACACATGAGCCACTTCATTCGCCAAATTGCGGCGACTATATCGGGGTCCCCTTTCTCCAACATTCGACACAATTTTGGTTTTCGCAGCGCGAGTGGGAAATTAAATTAAACCTACCACTAATATCGCTGCAGTCAAAATAACAGATCATTCAACAGGGAGTCAGACATTCTATTTCACTTCGAAATAAAGATTGTTAATTACATTAAACTCTAATACTCGTCCACTGAAAATAACAGATCTTCCAAGAGAGAGTCAGACACTCTATTTCACTTCGAAATAAAGATTGTTAATTACATTAAACTCTAATACTCGTCCACTGAAAATAACAGATCTTCCAAGAGGGAGTCAGACACTCTATTTCACTTCGAAATAAAGAAGATTGTTAATTAAATTAAACTTTAATACTCGTCCACTGAAAATACCAGATCTTCCAAGAGGGAGTCAGACACTCTATTTCACTTCGAAATCAAGAAGATTGATAATTAAATTACACGGTAATACTCCTCTACTGAAAATAATAGATCTTTCAACAGGGAGTCAGACACTCTATTTCACTTCGAAATAAACAAGATTGTTAATTGAATTAAACTCTAATACTCGCCCACTGAAAATACCAGATCTTCCAAGAGGGAGTCAGACACTCTATTTCACTTCGAAATCAAGAAGATTGATAATTAAATTACACGGTAATACTCCTCTACTGAAAATAATAGATCTTTCAACAGGGAGTCAGACACTCTATTTCACTTCGAAATCAAGAAGATTGATAATTAAATTACACGGTAATACTCCTCTACTGAAAATAATAGATCTTTTAACAGGGAGTCAGACATTCTATTTCACATCGAAATAAAGATTATTGAAAACGAAGTAAATTTCGAGGTCTACCCTAGATTTGGTCTCCATTTTACTGTTCATTAACAACGAAACACCATTAATTCGTAACATTTTGCACTACAAAATCTCGAAATTCTATTACCTAAAGCAGATACTGAATAAAATAAATTCGAGCTAGATATTGGACTCAAGAATCGATAGTGTGCCCAAAAGAGGCATTACGTGCTCCGAATACCTAAAATAAACTGAAACTTACCAAGAAACACGAAAGCTCCACGAAGCATTTCTCCTCTTCCCTCAGTCAACGTCTATGCCGAAGTATCCACGTCATAATCCATTATCACAGCACAAAAGAAGCACGCATATAATCACTGTTCCTCGTCACGGCTACGATTTCACCCGGATAGCGGCTTCTCCAACTTTCGTTCACTCACTCGCGGGCACTTCCCTTGGCACTTCGTTCCAAGAATTCGCTCGTGCCACAATTAATCCCCGCGAAAATGTCAGCGACGACGGCGGCGGTTTGAGCACACACGATTCTCTTGCTGGATCCGCGAACTCTCGCGAACGACGAAAACAAAAAAAAAAAACAAAAACAAAGGGGGAGGACACCAACCCCCGCGGATCGAATCGTAGAATCGCGTTCGCTTTGGGATCGTGCAACCGAGCCCGTGGCTTTCTGTGTCCGCCGGGATTTGTGATTTTACAGCGGGGTCTACCGTGTTCGCTGCACTCTTCGAGTGTCCGCAGTATTTATAAAACACCGACCGGAAAGCCGCGACTGGCGGAGCTGATTTTGGCGCCGAGCCGGCTTGGCCGCGCGCTGACGCCTCGAGACGATCTCACAGGCGTGTGTATACGCCCGGCCGATCCACCGATCGACGACGGGGATCGTCGAAGTGGACGCGTGTTTCCGCGTGTTTCCGTCACCCCCTTTCCACCCCGTTCGACGTCTAGTATCGTCGTGTCGAGCATTTTTCCACGGAACCACGTGGCGAAAGCGGTGTATCGGTCTTGTTTCTCAGCCTCAGGAAAATTTATGCGTCTGTGTCCCGACACGATGAACTTTTTGCGTGGTTTATGGGAACGGTGAATAATTCGCGAGTTATTTCACCGAGGAGACCCTGGGCTTGTGGAAAGAACGGATGGGGGACGGTTTGTGAGAAGGAAATGGAGAAAATCGAGATTTTTTATCGATCTTTTTTTAACGATATGTTTATTGATAGTGACTTCAAAGTTTGTATTCTAATTAGTACTTAGATGATCCAGGCATTAGTTGTTCATGGATAGGAATGTTCGGAGTTTGAGGAACTGATATAAATATGGTTGCTCAATTGTGTGTTCTATCTCGGAGATGTGATTGTATTTATCGTAGGTACTTGTTGTTTAGTATTGTTGTTAAATATTCGGACAGATTGCGTGACGTTCACGGAATTCGTCTAGCCCAATTTCGGGGAATGTACAGAATCATGCGATTTGTCACTGAGTAAGAATAAATTTATTGTATATGAGAAATATTTTGATATCGTATTTTGATTGTTGTGAATATAGGAGTTACTCATGTTTACAGAATATAGGAATTACTCATATTCATTAGACTAATAGATCATGGAATGAAATAGTTTTTATTTCGTGCAAGTTTTTATACAGTAGCTACGTAATTAGTATATTAATTGATAATGGAAAAATATTTGAAATTTTTTCGCGATCGATTTGTTCTGGACACTACCGATCTCTGTCGGAATTTAGTTGAAACTTAAAGAAGGACGGCGTCTCGTTTAGTTTCATCATTTTATCGCTAGATGGTCCTACTGACTTAGGTCTGTTGACGATCATTTTTTTAATTGGACATGAAACCGCAGATGTTAGTTATCTATTAGATAACTTGAAATATTTATAAGAAACTGAACATTACTTGAGACTCGTCCCCTTACTACTAAAATTATGGTATCCACTTTTAATTTTGAAACTTTTTCAAAAAGCGTGGGAACTTTTACATGTTCTTGTTTTATTCGTTTTTATATCTTACCTTAGATTTGTATATTTGTAACAGATAAATTCAGAATAGATGTAGTTTCATAAATAGTTTATAAAATCTATATGTCGGAGAATATATACACCGCTTTTATTAACACTTACATATTTATAATTTATATGGGAGTATGAATAGTTTTACTGCCTATTGT